AATAAATTCAACAGATGTTAACTAGCTAATAATGATCTGTGGAAAGTAATTATCTCATTTGTTTTAATAAATAAATAGTTATAACTTATATTACACATATTATTTTAGATTCAGATCGTTTTTAATGAAGTACCTACCTTTTTTTTAAAAGAGATTTTTTTTAATTAAAGAGTAATTTATATTTATTTAGTTTGAACAATTTTTTTGATAATGCTCAATAAGATTAGTGTGCTGATATAAATATATATAATATAACCATTTTATTCATAATTAATAATGTTAAACATTTTAATCGTTCTTTGATAAATGATAACTAATGATATTATATGTGTAATATATAATATAATTGGTGTTAATTTATAAAGTTAATTTTATTCAGTGCAAAAGCTCAGATTACTGTTCAGCATACATACATTTTTGTGATTGTTCTAAATACAGTCAGTTAAAATGCAGTAGGCTGAAATAATGTCATCTAAAATATTGTCAGACAAAATATTTATAACCTAAAGTATGGTTTCTTTAATATACAATATATACATGACCAATTTGGTTTTTTTCATTCATTAGAATATATAAAATCTGTAATAACAGTTACAATAAGCATCATATGAGTGTAGAAAAAAAAGAATATACATGATAAGAAAGTTTGAGGAGAGTAGCAACCCAGGAGTAATACTTAGACGTGATAAAGATTAGTTGCGACTATTTTACATACTAGGTATATGTATTTTTTTTATCTCTTAATATTATCGTCTAAAACACTTTTGGCAAAATTATTTATGCCCTTTTTATTACTGAAATGTAAAACAATTTTATTAATTGTTTTTTGAACTGTTATGAATTTTGACATAAAAAATACCGGTTATCAAAAATTTGAATTTTTAAATTATATTTAAAATATTTTTTAAGTATACGATTTGTGTTTTGCTAACTGATTTTAATATTTTAGGATTTTACAATGATGTGTATTTTTTATTTTTGTGTCTGTTTTGACCTTTTTCATTTGTAAAAATGCTTTAATTTTCTACTTCAACATCTTTTATGATAGGAAAGTGAACTAATTGGTACTTTGAGGGGTCAAAAGTACAAATTTCTAATAGTTTTCTAAATCGTTGGGAAAAACCAAAAAAAAAATTGAGGAAAATGGGATTTTTGTTAGTAAACACATTACAGCAAAATCGATTTTGTTTTATTAGGCGCAACTCAAAAACTAACTGTAAATACTTTGTCAAAATTTGTTGAAATTCATCAAAATCTATTCTGCTAAATGGTAATATACATGTTTAATTCAAAAATATTGTATACAAATTTGTATATTATAATTAAAACTATTCACTTATATTCTTTCTTTAACTTGGTAGATTTTCAGAACATTTTAGTATATTTTTTTTTTTGAACTGTTTTAATAAATATGATCAAAATAATAGATATCTTGAAAATGTAAAAACTTTAATTGCATTTCTGAAATTTTTTTTTTTAATATTATGGCATTCAGTTAGAATTACCAAATGTATTACTGTTTACTTGATTTGCTACAGAGATACTACGGCCATGGCTGTTGTGTGATAAAACGGTACGGGATTTTTGGGACATACTGTGTATTTTTTCGAATAACTTTTTAATTCAATAAGAAAAGAGAACAATTTACAATTAGCATAGAATAGAGAGAATACAAGACATAGTAGGCAGATAAAATAAGTCACCCAGAAGTGACATTTTTTTATTTACAAAATACTAAGAAAACAAATGTTCTAATAGTAGTTATACTGCTGATTTATTTTTGCCATTAAGTGTACTGAAACAAATGGTGGATTGAATGGATATTAGTAAAATAAATTATATAACTGCTTATTACATTTTTAATATAATAGCTGAAAATAGCGAATGATGTATAAAAATATGTGTATAAGACAAAATATTTTTATTTGTTGTTATAAATAGGATTGGAAAAATTTATATTTTATGTATCTTATACTCACAATCAAAAGCACAAATAGAGTCAGAATCCTAGGGTGCCACAGCTATCATGAATCATAATGATTATAAATTAGTGTTTATAAGTGTTTAAGTGGCTTATTTAAACTAGCTTAATTAGTCAATTCAATTTTACACCATTAACATAGGTCACAATAATTAAATTGGTATTTTGTCTGACTATGTTTTGGTACTCGAAATCATGACACATACTATATAAGATTATTATTTGAAAATAACGTGAATAAAAGTATTATTATGTAATATTACATAGTTTAAAAAAATAATTTTTTTTTATCTTTTTATCATATAGCATTCAGGAGATTGGTGTATTTTTTTGTAAGTACCAACGGGAATAAATATACATTTTTTATTTGAAGGTTGCTACATAACCATTGTTTTTATTTTTCTGCTATGTATACTATGTATTTGGGATGCTATTATCACATATTTTGATTTTTAAGTATTATTAATGGTTTATGTCTAGCAATGAAAATAACCATCATTCATTTAAAAATATTGCAAGGCTGTATTAAGTTGCATTGTTTGTCGACTAACTAAAATAAAAGTAAATACAGTAAAAATGTATGAATACATTTTGTTAAATAAAGTTGAAGTTGAGTAAATTATGATAACATGAATATGAAAATCTAGTATTTTTTATTTGAAAATGTATGATTTTATTTTATTTAGCAATCTCAAACAATTGGTATTGTTGTTTGAATTAATTTTATTTTAATATACATTTATTCATACATTTTAAATTATTCTAGTAGTTTATTATTATTACATGAATACAAAACCAAATATAATTCATAACTTATATTACTTTTGCATACAAACAATTGTAATTGATAAGTTGTTAGTGATTATTTAAACCTTTATTTATTAAAATAATTATTAAGAATATAGTTTATTCTATATATAGAATATATTTCAATTATTAAATACAATTTTATAAAACAATAAATCAATAAATAATGACCAAAATATCAATAATGTGTTTAAAATTAAGTTATTTGAAATTTAAAAGTGCAGCCATTTATACCACAAGTTCAAATTATTAATGTTCATATTTTAGTTTGTTAGGTTATAATTTAGTATTTTAAGTTATTTAAACATCATTAAAAAAAATCTCAAATGCATGATATTTTGATCTATTGAAGCAAAATATTTTGTGATAATACTATTCTATTATTAAAGATATGTGGGTACAATTTTTATTTGGTTTTGGATCAGTAGTAAATTAATATCCTTAAAAGAATTTGGTATCATTTTTAATTTATTTTGATATATAAAATTATTTTTTACTATTAGATTTTATCATTATAATTGAATATTAATGTATTATATAATTATATAATTAACATATTATAAAGGATTATACTTCAATATTTGTTTAAATGTAGTTTATTTAAATTGCATACGTACACAATTTTAATTTGTTTTAGCACTAACCATAATTTTGAGTATTATAATAATGTAACAACCCTGTAGCTTGATAATATTTTGTATTAATTAATTAATTTTTTTTAACTTTTTATACTAGAAACTATTCTCAAGGAGGCAAAACACCAGATGATGCTTTGTTTAGATATTTGTCAATAAAATATGCCTCGAAAAATCCTAAAATGGCTAATGGGTCGGCTTGTCAAGAAGAACATTTTAAAAATGGTATTACTAATGGTGCTGAGTGGTATGAACTTGAAGGTTAGTATTTAATTCTAAGATTATTTTTTAATTTATTTCTATATTTTGTTTACTTATTTTAATTTTTGATAAGGAGATTGTTTATTTATCTGGGACATAGGAATGTACTCTGAGAGGTCAATCCCTAGAGCCAAAATTAGATTAATATAAGACTATTTTATTTATGTTTCAATAAATTAAAATAAGATGTGCTACAATTATTTAAACATATATTAATATATTATAATTCTTTTATATATAAAAAGAACAGGCATGTTTTTGTACCAATTTTCTGACGACATTATGGAACTATTTTCTAATTTTTTCACAGAGTTGTTCCAAATACTTTCCCGAGTGTCACCACGTCATCCAATTTTTCATTTTTGTTTGAGGGGGTGGAGAGGGTGTATTGTATTTAAGTTTTTAAGCGTGTCATTTAAATAATTTAACAATTTTTTTCACAAAGTTGTACCAAATACTCCTACGACTGATCTATTTTTTCCAATTTTATTGTTACTTAAGAAAATACAAATCCTGTTATTTAAGAAGTCGCGATTTCCTTTAGTAGCTGAACCGTGATCTGTTGTATGTTTGAAATATACCTTTAATGACAGTTGTTTGCGAGAAATGTACATGCACAGATTATATTATAATTGTTTACGCAGTCCGTCGTAAATAAAGACCGGCTGAAACTATAAACTACAAATTAATACAAATTTTGTTACATACATAGTTTTAATATTAAATACCAAAGAGTTGTAATATAAATTGCGTTATTAAAAAAATTTAGTTTCAACTTCAACATTACTCTAATGATTAGTAAAATGTACTGTGTTTATGACTTTTTCTATTATCCAAATACGTCGATATACGTAGCACCGCATTTGAGGTGTGTTCATTTTTTCCTGGGCAAAGTCATTTTTTGATTTGAATAACAAATAAAATTGTTACATATTTTATTTTAGTCAATTTGTTTAAGCCAGCCTTTTGTCCAACCTTTTGTAAAGACTGGGCCACATTATATGGGTATATGGGTAGAAGTTATTGAGGGCCTCATACTTTTTTATAATAATAATACATTCAAATTGAATGATTAAATTATATTCTATAATGCAACAATACATTTTTTTATAATTTTACAATAGCGAATAATAAGCAGAAACATTTTTACAAGTATTAATATTTAATTGTAATTACATGGAAAAATATATTTTTAATAAAAAAAATAAACAAAGCGTGAACATCTGACCATCACATGTGCACAACTGTATGTCTGTACTAGATTACATGTGCTTAGTAATAATTGTATATAGGTATTTTATTTTTATTTGTTGATAAGTGATACAGGATATTCTTAAAATAAATTTTTTCTCGTAATATTAATATATGATTGCTTTTTTATTTTTTATGGCTTATTCCGGGCCATTTAGACCCTTCTCCGCTTCCACTATGCCTAGCCATGCCTCTCTATCCAATGCTCTTGTTTCTCCATCCCTGATTCCTAGGAGTTTCAGATCATGCTTTTCCATTCTTAAGCATATTTATTGCTAGTTCAACTTCATCTACTGTAGGTTTCTCTAAATATTGTTCAACTGTATAATATATTATATACAATTAATTAATGGTTTTTAAATTTAAGTGAGCGCCACGGGTTGGACACCCCTGATTTAAACTATCAATTAAAAGTACTTGTCTGGTGGTACATACATTTGAAGCACTTAACAGCTCATTAAAATTGAATGAATCAACCATCGGTTTTTTAGTGTTTAAATATGTGGTATTAGACTTGAATGGATTTTTATTCGATGTAGCAGCATCAGGATAGTTGGAATACCTATAATTTAAAACATTAGTACAAAACATTAAAAGTGTTTAATTGAATACCAGGATTTAAAAGTCAAAATGAGTCAAATAGTATTTTATAAAATTTTAAATACCATTATAAAAAAAATATAAAGAAATTTGGTCAATTTATAAGTTTCTATTTCTTAGTAAAATGTGAAAATACTTATTTTTAACTGTCTAAATAGACTTGGGTTTGATTTGAATTTTTATTTCAATTTAGACAACCATTAATTCAGGATAAAATTCTCAATCTCAGGCCATTATAGTACAAATAAAATATGTATTCTGTTATAGTGTTTACGTTTTAGATTTTAGCTCGGATATTATTGATTGTACAATCGTATGTTTTATAAAGTTCTGAAGGAAAGAAGATTATGATTATTATTGAATGTTTTATAAATAATAATTATATAAATTAAATGTTTAAAATGAAACAATCAGCTCATCCAAAACACTTAACATCATAAAAATATTTATTTTTCAATAATAATTTTGATTGTCTCTAACTAATATTGTAGTACAACTTATTAATAGTTAAATAACATATAATATTTCAATCCTAGATCTTCTACAGTTCAATAGGGTTCTGCCTTTGGTCTTAAATTATTATTTTTTTTTTTTAACAATGTTATCTGTTTATTATTAATTACTATACTATACTATACTACCAATATTTAGGTGGAATGCAAGATTTTAACTACATATATTCAAACTGTTTTGAAATTACAATCGAACTTACCTGCTGTAAATTCCCATCTCCATCCGTGCTGACTAAAGAATGGGAATATAACCGTGAATCGTTGTTAACTTATATGGAGAGTGTTCATATGGGAATTAAAGGTAAATTTGCAGTATGATTTATAATGGTAATAAAATATATATTATAACTTTCTATAATTCGTAAATACTTTACAGGATTGGTTCAAGATGAAAATAATAACCCAATTCCAGGGGCTACTATACATATTGTAGGCATAAATCATACTGTAAAAACTACAAATAGAGGTGAATATTGGAGACTATTACTTCCTGGTATATATAACATTTCAGCCAATGCTCCTGGGTAAGAGAAATCATTTAACATTATCATAATGTATAAGGTATCTAATAGAATATTTTTGTTTTTAAAAGTAATTTATATATTATAGTATTCTAAAATAAACTAGCATACATAATACATACAATTATTTGATTTATAAGTATTTAATAAGCGTACAGTTACATTTTGGAAATTAATATTAATTTAAATAATATATTTATAACATTTTCTTTTTTTTTTTTTAATAAATTAAATTAGCTTTACTTATTATTTATTATTTATTATTCATAATCATAGACAAAGTATGGCTTAACAGAAATAGATCGTTTTGGAAAATTGTTCTACCAATGTGGTTTGTAAATTTATTATTTTGTAAATCAAATAATATAATAAATGTGAATGTGTTTGTTATTCTTCGACCAATTCTTAACATATGGTTTTCATAAGTTAAAATGTAATATTATTTTGTAACATAAATATTGATGTTAGGAAATTTCATATTTACCTGAGGTATTTTTTTATTTTGTTTTAGTTACAATGCATCAGTGTATCGAAATATTTTGGTGAAGAATGATACTCTACGTTCTACAACTGTTAACTTTACACTCCATACATTAAAACAATCGTCAGGTAATTTAATGGATAATATATATTTCCCTTCATAAATAAGTAATATTCAACAAATTTCAATTTTCCCTTTTTTTTTTTATATATAAACTGGTGATTTACATGTTTATAATCTTTTGCATGGGATTACTAATAGGTGGTGGCGTATATTCTGTTATAATAATTAAATAGTAGATTTATGTTAACAAAAATAATTATAAAAATCAGCGGCGAATTGAAAGGTCAGGAAAAATTTGTTGATGGGTCTATCAAGGTGTTAAAGTTTTATGACAATTCCTTGTTTGTCAGTATGAGTGATATCCATATACTTAATTTCTAAAACAAAATATTTATCTAATTCGCCTCTGATGAAAATAATGAATACTTAACAAAAGTTTATACTGTGTATATTTTCTAGCCGACAGATACAAAATATCAATGGTCTTCTGCATGCTGATATTGGTATTGCATGTGTCATTAATAAATTGTGACTTGATAAATTTCTTAACATAATATTACCAATGAACTTAGTAACAATGATTTTAGTCCAAAATAGTGTAAGAACAAATTAATTAATTTTGTGATATATAATACAAGTAGAATCTCTATAACTCAAATTCCAACTAGTCAAAAATAAATTAATTCTCTTAACATTGATGTACTGTTACATAAGATTAATATCTTCTTTTAGAGCTTGAAGTATTTTAAAGCTAATGTTGACCATCATATAGATGCCATTATGTAATCTCTATATTTATTCAACATTAGTTATTGATCATGTATTTATCATAGTATCTACTCTCTTTATACGAGTCCACCATTACCTCTTTGTCTCACTTTGTTTACTGACCCAGTTTCTCGCCTATTTGCTATAAATGGGCATCGGAAACTTAGGAATAAGAATCCCTACCTAGTTATATGTTTTGATTTGTATAATTTTGCGATAACTCTTATTTCTGGCCAAAGTTCTTAATTTAATTATCCCATGCATATTATTACAGTGGTTTGGCTCTTAGATATTCAACATTTGATAATTGCCGAAAGTAAGATCCATTAATTTCCAAGTCATTTTTCTTTAATTAATGTCTTGTTTTTACTTGATTGACTTTTAGTCCTGAACATCTACTCAGCGTCTAAAAAAATTACCTCTCTCTAATCTTGAGTTATGGAGTAAGTACTGTATTTAAATAATTAAACAAACTACTACGATGAGTATTATTTAATTTAGGTATATTAATAATATTAACATTTATACTTAATTATATGTGTCTGTGTGTATATTTTGATGAGCTGTGGAAATCACTTAAATGTTGCAAATTATTGTTATAATAATGCACACTTAAAGTACAAGAACTAAAATAAAAATTTATTTTTATATCGACATGATAAATTTACCTAAATTACATATAGTAAAATTGTTTGATATATAAACTGTTCTACACAACCCGAACATCAGAATTAGATCTCTATATAAATTTTTAATTTAATTTAAACATAAGGTTGTTAATTTTTTTTTTTTATTGAATTTCAAGTGTTTTCCACATGCAGCTACTTCCATAGTATTAAAAATTGTATTAGATAATAATAGTTAAGATATCTTCTGGCACAATCTAATGATAATTATTTTACTAAAATGGTTAACAGTGATTATAATATTATAATTATTGCATTTTCAAAACTATTTTCTGATTATTTTTATATTTAAATATTTTTTTTTCTTACTATTTATGTATTTCATTACTTTTTAGTATTATACCTATGGTCCTTTCTATCCACTTTTTTAAGGTAATTTTACTGAACAAATATTGGTTATTGAAACTATTTTACAAATATACATTTGTAAAATAGTTTATTCTGGCTTTTAGAACAAATTATACTACAATTGGATAGGTTAGGTTAACTAAGCCGCTAAGGGGTCATTAGAAGTAGTTGAAAGTTGCATATACAGTAAAACTTCCATGTAACGAAGTCTCAAAGGAAACAAAAAAAATGTGTAATATAGAGGAATTCGTCAAATTGAATTTACAAATGATAACAATGAAGATGATGGTTCTCAAAAACAAGGTGTTAAACAGAAAATTTTGTTAAATGGAAGTTCGGTATATGGAAGTTTCACTGTACTTTCTATTTAGTTTTTAGAAAAGCCAAGAAAATACATCAACAAAAATGTTGTTCAACTGTATGATATTAGTATGTGTTAAAATTAGACTATGTTCTAAAAACCTGATATCAATATCAGCAGCATAATTAGGAAGGAAGCTAGAGGTGCAAAAAGGTTCTGTTTTATTCAATAAAGTTCTACAAGTTCTAAATTATAGTTATGTTTAAATATAATCATACACATACACAAACAGAGAAAAGGCTGTTAAATTTAATTGATAACAGTGACAGCCTATATTATGTATCAAAAATCTTTAGCTTACAAAAAAAATATGTATCTTTATACATTTTATTATACTGCATATTTTTTTATACTCATTTTATTTTTTTTAGTGGGGGAATTTCTTTTAATGACTTGACAAATTATCGGGCCTATGTATGTATGAAATATTTAAAAACAACTGTACATTATACATTTTTTTTTTTTCTATATTTAGTCATATACTGATTTTAAACAAAAGTTGCTAAAAAATAAATATGTTGCTTTTATGAAATTATGTTTGGTCTCGCCAGTATGTACTGTATTGACTTAAATCAAAGACTGATAAATGTATAGACAACAATTTAAAAGATAGTCAATACAAATGATACTATCACACAGATTTTTGGGTAAGAAATTATATTATTACTTTTGTTATAGTACTTACAGTATTACTGACTTAGATATCTATAATGATACACTTACAAATCAATTAATTTATTTGTAGCTAACAAAATACTGTAGTTGTTACTGAAATACATAATAAAGTCATCTACTTAAACAATCATACTTCTTTAATTTTTAGTATTTTTTTGATGTACCTTTGCAAAATACAAATTTTATTAAAAACTTATAATTCTATTCTATTTTTTTCTTTTATTAATTTAATCAATTAAATACATACAACTTTAATTTTCGTAACTTCCCTAAAAACATACAATTTTCTAAGAATTCAAAAAGAAATAATGTTGTCAGTGAATAAACTATTTTTGATTCTTTGGTATTATGCATGTTATTCATTTTTATAAATAAAGTATGCTGTTTACAATTTTATTCTGTGTTCGGTTTGCTTAAATTTACTAATACATATTAAAATATCTAACAAAAATGTATTATTTTTTTAAAAACATCTACAGATGTTGATATTGAATTTAAAGTACTTTTATTCATACTGTATTCAATAAAAAAAGGGGCCTTTAAAATGTTGATGCAATTTTACTTACTTTTTGGTTATAATTTTATAAGTGTGTCCTAGCCTCCCAATGTTGTTTTACAACATTACACATATTCAATTTTCATTCGTTTTATTAATTATTTACACAATACTTCTTTAGAACTCATTGATTTTGATACATCAAACGTGGTAATTGATTTATCTCACTGGAATGTTAATGTTGATTTTGGATTGGCCAAAAGTAATGGGACTGTGGCTGTGATTCATAAGGCAACTCAGGGGATTAGAAATATCGACTCTTGCTATAGAACCAGACGAATTGCAGCTGAAAAAGAAGGACTACTTTGGGGAGCATATCATTTTGGTACTAATACAAATGGTGTCATCCAGGCTAATCACTTTTTAAATCAAGTCGGAAATACATCAGCAACTTTACTTGTTCTAAATGTTGAGCCTTACAAAAATAAAATAATGACCCAAAAGCAAGCTGAAGACTTTATAAATACTGTTCAAAATGTAACTAAAAATTTTGTCATGATTTATGCTAGTTATAATACCTTAAAAAATTACTCTACCCCATTTTTATTAAAAACTCCATTATGGATAGCTCTTTATAATACACAACTTAAATTACCACCGGGTTGGGATAAATGGGTCTTATGGCAATACACTGATGGAAAAAAGGGTTTATGGCCACATGGAGTGAACGGTGTTGGCTTATGTGATAGAGATAAATTTAATGGTTCAGTTGATAGACTGAGAGCATTTTGGCCAAATGGAAGTTTGCCTCTTTTATGAATTAAAAAATGTTTGTACATTTTGCAAGTATCAATAAACTATTAAAATTCACAATTTGTAATTTTTTGTGTTAAATTAATTTGTTGATGTTTACTCAATGATAATTTCTAAATAATCAATACAGTAATAAATATACAATTTTCTATAGTCAATATTGAAGGCTCATCAAGGATTTTAACAACAACTAAAAAAATATAATATACAATCTCAACGACAGACAAATACATAATATATTATGTCTCTTTAATAATATTTATAACTTTTATATTTTGGTAGTTACAATTTTTTAAATCCTTGACCTTTTCATTTGACTTTCAGTATAATACTTGACAAATACTAAAATTGGTAAAACTTACAAAATGTATTATTAAATAAAAGTATAATTATATTTATTTTATGAATTATAGTCATTCACTCAATTAACACGTTAAGTGCCATGAGGACACTGGCAGTCATTAGTAAATATCAAATTTTATTCTTTTGGGACCGCTGGCGGCCACAATTGATTATTACTACCACGTCACATGACCGCCAACGGCCTTAAATTAATAGGGTTTTATATTATTAACTTTTCCATGGCGCTACAATAATGCAACAAAAAAGCGCTGTAACGTAGTGCGAATCATTGCAAATTTTTTGATGTAGTAAATATATTTTTAAAAAATTTTTATATTTTTAAACTTTTTTCAAATAAATAGTATAATATACAAATTTTTAATGACACTGAAAAATATACTTGGCATACAGACGATGCATGATCGTGTGATCGCCGGCGGTCGCATGCCACTATAACTTGTTAAGAGTGTGCTGGGTTTCAGCTAAGATTATGCTAATAAGATGTATTAAATCCCTAAGAGATAAAATTCATGAGGTTAGGTAAGGTTTAAAACGGCATAAAATTAATTTGTTATTAAAAATACTAAAATAGAAAATAAGTCAACCAAACTTTACTATCTATAATTGGTAGGCAAGGCAGCTCTCAGATATATTTCTTGGGGGCCAACAAAAAATATTTTATCTTAAAAATAAATAACGTAAATAATATAATGTATATCATCTAAAGCTGGAGATACGGCCCCATTGTCCTTTGGGCGGCTTTGTTAGTAGGTTTCCTTTATATTTTATTGATTAATTTCCTTGCTATTCTATCTGTGTACATAGTACATTCAAATGTATTCTCTTAAGAAATCTTAATTAGATTGTTACTTTAAATAAAAAATTATACTGGTTAATTAAGTCAATAATAATAAATTCATTACTTATAAAGTCAGTAAAAAATTACCTTCTTGAAAATTGATTATCAATGTAGATTATGCATCTCATTTTTTAGAAATAATGTGAATCATGATTTTCAATATAATTTGTAGTTATTTGTATAACAACTAAATATTCTGTTAACTTCAAACAATGAAATTATTTTAAACTACTTAAATTCTTAATTGTTATTTTGTCATCACTGATTACAGGGGAACTGCTTATACATTTCTTCCCCTTGCTTTACAACATACCTAACCTAACACCACACTAAGTAAAATACAGATTTACATTTGACAGTATCAATGCATGAGTTTATTTAGTTGTTTTTATTTTTATACTATGTCAGATATATAATATGGTACTATATTATTTTAGATTCTGAGCTGAGCGAGGGATCTAGTGGTTTTACGCTGGTGTTTATTTTATTTTTTATTTTTGTATTTTTTATCTTGTATACAACATTTCTACCAGAAGGAGTGATTTGATTTCAACATATAGTACCTATCTTATCTTTTAGCAAAGTGGATCAAGATTTCGATTTTTCTCAATAGTTAATTAATGCCATGGGAAAAACCTCCAACAAATTACAAAAAAACCGCTAAAAATGGGATTTTTATTTCTATAATCTCCGCTCAGAATCGTTTTTCGTATACAATGATATGATGTCATTGAACTCAAATTGAATAAAATCCATTGTACAGTGACCCACTTGTATTTTTAACAGTTTTTATCTAGATATGATTTTATTAAAAACAGTGAATATAATTAAAATTATTTTTTTAATAGTAAAATATCAATACATTGCATACATTTATTTTTAAGTAAGACCTGAAAAAAGTGGTGGAGGGGCTTAGGCCAACTTTAACAATTTATAAATGTATATAACATCACTGGTATCTACGATCTACTTACGTATATTAATATGTTAATCATCAACATTTTATTTGTTATAAACTTATAAATCTCTATTGATTATTTTATATTATTATATTATGAATTATCTATTAAATAACTCATAAGTCCTCAGATAATTTGTAGTAATAATATAATTATGTAATTTTCACATATACTTAAAAAATGTATATGTGTATTATATAATATATATATTATGTGATTTAGACATTTATCATTATTATTAAATGTATTATTATTATATACTTTTTATTCAAATTCAAAAATTTAAAGAAAATGTTATTATATTACTTATTGCGTTTTGTATGATCTAACTGCTCGTAACGGTTGTAAGATTTATATATATATATATATATTATATATGATTAATAAACGAGTAATTATTGTTGTAGCAAATAGTTGTTTTTTTTTCTTTAAGGTAATTTGGTCATTTCCACACTTGTATATACATATTGTTAAGCCGCACGTAACTGCTTTAAAATAACTGTTAACGGGGATGAAGTGAAGTATTTGGCCGCAATACGACGAGGTGTGTCGGACCATCACACGGCGAAACGTAATACGAGGGACGTATGCGAAATAGAAACGCGCTTGTACTTACCTTTACCTATATACCTGTCTTACGAGCGAATAACATTAATATTTCTTATTTTTTTCGGTAGTTTATAATATAGTAATAGTAGTTATAATAGTAGTCAAACAATATAACACTTTGGCCACGACATTACGTGCTTTGTGTATATTATATTATTAAATATTTGCGTGCCTATTGCTGTACTGCTATACTATATAGGTACCTGATTATCAAACCACAATAATAGAGCACCCACAGCAGCTGTATGATGAATAGCATGGCGGTGTTTTGGTTCGCTGACATTTTGAAATTAAAAACCGAATCAAGCTCCAATAAATGCATTTATGTATACACCGCAGTGCGTTCCATTTTCATCACTCGTGTAATACTCTTTAGACGTTTCCCGAATTCAAATAACAATATGATTATATAAACTAACGTTTTTTTTTTACTTTTACTTAATCAGCACAAATATATATAATATGTATATGATGTGGTAAAATGCGATGTAGAGATCTGCAATGACTTATTTTATATAGTCATCATCATAATTGAAGCGTTGAGTCTACAAAATCCGAATCAGTGGCGTAGGCCTACTGAAAATTCATGTTAAATTTAAGAACTTCAAGCATGGTTTAACATTGAAAATCCGCAGGCACCCCGTAATTCGTAATTTTAAGATAGTCTATGAAAATTGAAATTTAATTATTGCTGAGAACGAGTTAGGTTTACGTTGTCTAATTATGTTTAATTTAAGTGGCGTATATAGGATTTAATTTCGGTAGGGTTTTTAGAAATCCTGACAGTATAATAAAAAATAATAATTCTAAACACACATGTTTTTATTTTCGGAGTGGGTTCAACGACCCTAACTCAATCTCTCCCCCATAAATACTCCTCTGATCTTAATAATTGATTGAATACTTAAAAATTATAATGTTGCATGCTACTTTTTAAAAGTCCATCGTCATAGATATCGACATTTAAATTCCTGTAGTAAAAAAAAATAAAAAATAAAAAATATTTTATTTCAGTCCAATAATCATTCAAACTAAATTGAATTTTCTAAACATTTAAATATTTAGTTCTATAAACTTTTGCAATAACCTATTACTTAATAAATATAACATTCAACTATTTTTAATTTAAATTGTATACATCATACACACAACTTAAAAATGTAAGATTTGTGGTAAAATTGGCGACCCAGGTTGACTAAAATTAATTCCTATATACAGTATACACCAACGCCACTGTTTCGAGTGCATCTATATTCTTTATATTAAAACCATACATATAAAACCCTACAGGGAATGACAAAAAATTAAAAAACAAAAGCAAAAGTATCTTATAATTATTAAAGTGCTTATAAATAAATACCTATCTATAATGACACACTTATATCGATTGATATTTTAATTCGATGGGCTGAAGTCTTACGCATCGAAGATATGATAGCGTAGGGATGCAGACGCTGGGCATATAAATTATATCATTGATTATAAATACCATAGTATTTAATACTATTTATAATCAATGGCTATATGTTCAGTAGTAGTTCAATGCTTGAATTGGGATGGGCGGAGTCTATCTTCTTTTAAAAAAAATATTTATGTGTACCAAGCCTTTTAATTGTAAGTATCCTAATCAATTAGAGATTTAAATAATCAGGTACGCACATTTTTTCCTTTCAATTTTTTTCCCCAAATCAAGCACTCCTTATAACCATGTCGGTTGCAGACGCGTATGACCATACTGTGATGTGAGTATTAATAGGCCATTAGATCGCCCAATAAAAAACAAAGAAAGTTTTCTCTACTTTTTCATTGAACAGTTTGTAAGAAAAAAAAATGTTGCTCATATTCTTACATGAAAAAAATATGTTTTTTAGATGCGTTATATAGTCAACTGTAATATATTTTGCGTGTGCGTGTATAGTTGGACTTAAAAATAAAAACATTTTTTCGGTAGTTCGGTACTTCAATGAGCTTGCCTGCCAGTTATTTTTTTTTTATGTTCAAAAATATCGTACGAGACCGGAGCTCAACTCCAATGTCCTCAAAAATCCTTTTTAAGTTACATAGGTACTATATATTGGTAACACTTTTTTCTTTCAGCTGTCGATTTGAGTACGATAGAGATGAAGCACGGACAGAGAGACGGTGATGGATTCCCTATTCCCGTAGCGTTCGTGCACCACAATTACGATCGTCTTGTATCCGCATTGAACTTGATTAACGTCAACTATCCAAACATCACCAGATTATACACCGTGGGCAAAAGTGTGCAAGGGAGAGACTTGTACGTGCTCGAAGTGTCCACGAGTCCCGGGCGACACGAACCTGGTAATGTTTACATAAGTGGTGGGAGGGCGATGTTTTAGCCCCCCCTCCATTAAAAAAAAAATCTTCGTAGAATTTATTGTACATTATTTGAATTTTGAGATGTTATAGCTAATTTTATTTATTTCGTATGGCTCACTAACAAACACATATCATATATTCATATTATGATTAGACTATAAGTAACTTTAGTAACTTAGTCATAACCATAATTCACAATATTCACAATCAGGGTTTAAAACAATAGTTAAAAAAGTTAAAATGTATACATCATAAGTCTATATTTTGTAATTGGATCAATTCTATAGCTTCCGGGGTGATGTTGTGGCAGTAGCGGATCCAGAAGTCACCCAAGGGGGTTGGGGCGAATTTAAAAAAAATTAAATTGTCTTTTTGTTTAGCTAAATATTATAACAGAAAATAATGTTAAAAAGACAGCCCAAAGATTGGGCTAAAGCCCCTTCTCCCCTCGTATCACCCACTGCGTTGTGGATACCAGTCTGGTCTTGAGGGAAAGGTCTTTTTGAACAATCCGTCACAATGTGATCCATGTTTGCTTGGCATTAATTATAACCAATGAATCTTATTTTTTATTTTTTTATTTTAGAACTGGAAACTAACTACTTACCTGGAATCTTGTTTTAAATTTTCAATCCTTTGATATAAAAGTTGAACATTTTATAAATTTTTAACTACAAAATAATTATTCAATTTTAAATTTGATAAATTTTGTCAAAATTCGATCTTTAAATGCTTATAAAAAAAAATTGTTCCTATGTATTTTTAATATTTTTCATTTGATGTTGTAACAATAAATCAAGAGCCTTGTATTAAATTTTACAGTTCGTTTTTGAATCACAACAAAATAAGGAAATCGCTACCTACATGAGTAATCGAGAATAGCCAATGTTGTAAAAATTTAATTTGACTTTCTTAAAGACATTTATTTTTTGATTAAGGTAGATAATCTTATAAGGAATCTTGTATTACTTACATATTCTTAACTCAAAATCATTTGCTAATTTTCGTGATTTTTCCATATTTTGTCAATTTTTGAACTTTAAATGCTTATAAAAAAAAAAAGTGTGACTAAGGATTTTTAATATTTTTCATCTGCCTTTGAAACAATATACTAGGAGCCTTCTATTAAATTTTCAAGCTTTTTTAACCCACAAATAAAATTTTATTGATATTTTTAGAAAAAAAACTAAAAAAATGGAAAATGAAAATGTCCCTAAACAGTTCAAAATAAATCAAAATTTTTTGAAACTGTTATCGTGTATAGAAAATGCAAATATAAACAACCAGTGAAAATGTCATGTACCTACGGTCATTTGTTTTAAAGTTACACCAAAAACCAAATTCAATTTTGTGAAAAATCGATTTTGCGTAAAAATTCCCGTTTTCCTTAATTTTTCTTTTGTTTACCTTGGCGCTTTTTAAAATTACTGGAAATTTTAAATTTTGACCTCCCCAACGATATTCACTTTCCAATCGAACAAGATACTAAAGTTAAAAATCGAAGCATTATCTCGATTACTATTATCGTGTACAGATCACACAAAAAAAAAATGTAATAAAACACATCATTGTATAATTGTCAATTCATATCATTCATCACCCTGCTCAGAATCTAAAAGTAGGGCAAGTGGGTACCGATTTTCATTAGGTATCGTGTGGGTAACTGAAATGGGAGGTTTATATTATATTTTCTAGATTCTTTGGTTACAGTTTGAACTACTTATGAGAAACCTTGTATTACATCAAGTTTTTGACCCAGTGAAAAAATTTTCATCGATATTTATTTCATAGAAAATCTATAATTGTCTACTCTTGACCCACAAAAATATCAACTAGAATCTAGATAACATTTTCTACAAGAAATCATCTTCAACTGCTGGAGATTGAAACCTTCAAAGTATCGTCAGATACAAAAAAAACCCACACGTCATTGTAATTTGTAAACCCAATACACATTACCAACACATTACCAACTCCGCTTTAAGATTGTGGATGAACGTGTCCAATGAATCGCTCAGCAGAAATATAATATATTTATATGGTTTAGGCAAACCGGAATTCAAGTACGTGGCCAACATGCACGGTAACGAAGTGATCGGTCGGGAAATGTTGCTGTTGCTTGCGCAGTACTTGTGCCAGAACTACGGTATCGACCAACGCGTCACCAGGTTGGTTGACGGAGTGCGGATACATCTGATGCCGACGATGAACCCGGATGGATACGAAATATCCAATCAAGGTATTAATATGTCGTGGTAATTTCAGTGGGCTGCACGCCTGCACCTACAACAGATTGCAGCATGGGAATAGCAGTCATCTTTCTAGGGGCAGAGATAATTTTAAAAAAAAATTACTATTTTGTTTTAAAGAAAGCTCTTAACTTTAACACCTATAGTATAATACCATATAAGGTATAAAATGTATACAAATTATACCGAAAAATAAGGTACTTAATAATTCATAAATCTGGAAATTGTTCGACGCCTCGAGGGTCATCAAAATTGCAGACGTAATTAAAAACCAATGAACAAAAATGATAAACTACAACACTCAGCACGCCATTTGATGACCCCCTACTCTACTATGTAATAATATTGAATGAGCTTAAAAAAATTGTAGGGGACTATTGAAATTTTTTTTAGGAGAGCTTAACCCCTCAAGCCAACCCACTATTTGTGCTTATTTTACCTATCTACTGGGGCACAGATATAATTATTGCCCTTAGGCGCATTTATCATTAATTTATATGTAATATGCCATATGTATATGTACCTATACAAGTTATACTAAACGATTGATTAAATAGTTTTATTCTAGTTTCATGTTTAGAAGTATACGGTAATTAATCAAAATTGATATTTACATAATGTACTATTTTGAAATTTCAAAAAACTGTTCCAGTATCTCTATAGTATAGATAATCTGTATATAGTAGGTATTTTAATGTGACGATAAATACTTTAAGCTAATTTTATTCATATTAAAGTAATAGTTATTTTCTGAAAATAATAAGGCACCCATAGATAAGGTTATAACTTATAACATAGAATATTTTAATACTTATAAATAGCATATAATAAACGAAATTTAAAAGTAGTAAGTTATGTAGATCATTACACGAGTATTCCTATTTAAGTGCCTATAATATACGATGTTGTTCACTTCAGGAATTAAAGACGTTAACGACGTAGTTGGCCGCGACAACGCAAACAGAGTTGACTTGAATCGAAATTTTCCGGACAACAGACATTCCTTGCACGTGAGTACCTACCTATATATACATGCTACAATTATGAATAAATAGAAATAACACCAAAAACGCCGACCCTGTGTCCAAATCCGGTGACTTTCCAAACAAATCTTTTGTGGATATTGTATTATTTTTGGCTGAAATGCACTACCATCAGTGGCGTAGCTAGGAATTTTTAATGGGGGGGGGCTAAGTATACAAATACAATGTGTTTTTTATTTACGCTTTTTATTTTTTTATTAATCTTGATAAAATTCTAAGGTCAATACCGTTCAATGGGGGGGGGGCTATAGCCCCCTTAGCCACCCCCTGGCTACGCCACTGACTACCATTATCCATTGATTGGGCATAGAAATACTAGACACTAGTATTTAATATTTATATTTAATAATGTAGTTAAGATTTTTAACTTCTGAACTTAAGAATGACCAATGTGGTTTTAAAAATAAAAAATGTATGAAAGAACTAAGAAGCAATTTTTGAACTTTGTTTGCTCATTGGCAAACAAATTGAAAGGAATATAGTCACATATCTACTTAGCTTTTATAACCTTTATAGACCTAGAAAAAGAGTTTGATAACGTTAGCTAGATATAATATAATGTTGAAGAATGTCTATATGAATTTCTTGAAAGATTTTCCAAACATGCTAATAAACAAATCATTTAAAATGAAATATAATTCATTGTTGTATGCGTGTTTTCTGTTTTTAAGGGGCCTGCACGCGACCTGTTTTTTTGCTCAAAAACATGCCTTACAGGAAAAACTCTCACGCCTCGTAGATGGGTCCGATTTCCGTAATTTTTTTTTTGTTAGATAGAGGAAGACTTCTTACAGGGCGCATTGGACTTGGATTTTCAACATTATTTTTCTAAGTCTTATGTTACAAGTTTGAATTTAATCAATTTTTACAACTTTTTAGTTTTTGTATTATTTTTTGTTTTTAGCGACGTAATCAAAAATCGAAGTCCAATGCGCCCTGTAAAAAATATTCCTCTATCTAACAAAAAAAAAATTACGGAAATCGGACCAATCTACGAGGTGTGAGAGTTTTTCCTGTAAACTGTGTTTTGACCGATATAATACACCCTATCAACCCCCCCTAAATAGGTATTGGGTAGTAGATTAGTGGAAAAGTCTTATAATTGAGGTGGCAACTAAAATATAAAATTTAATTTTCAAATTTTATAGAATTGCGGAAAATTTGAAAAATCGCGAGCAGGCCCCTTAAAATGTTTAATATTAGGTCCGGTTCCCTGTAAGTTGATTCCAAAATGTTCTACATCATATACCGTACTACATTTTTGAATCTCCCTGTTGTTTACAGTTATCAAAACAAGAACCGGAAACCAAAGCAATCATCGAATGGATCAAAAGCATTCCGTTCGTTTTGAGTGCCAATCTACACGGCGGAGCTCTTGTGGCCAATTACCCTTTCGACAGCAGCGCGATCGACGGTAATTCCAATCCACAGGCTTCGTATACCCCCGACAACGATGTATTTGTGCTACTAGCCAAAACATATTCTATGGTTAGTAATGAACGTTGACAGTCGTTGTGGAAAAATAATCCGAACGGTTGTCAATCGGATTTTTTTATTATAATATCGTGTCTAATGGAGTCATTACGAGGGTTTTTTTTTAAGGAATGACATTGTAATTGGCCCTTTGAGAAATAATTCTATTTTTTTCCTACTTGTGACACTCCTTTCCCGTTGACAATACCAATTTGCAATCATAAGCCATGCTCGTTTGTTTGCAGAACCATCCGAAAATGCATTTGGATAGCAACAAGTGCGCAAACGATACGACGTCGTTCAAGGACGGGATAGTCAACGGTGCCTCGTGGTACAGCGTGGTTGGCGGCATGCAAGACTTCAACTACTTAAACACGAATTGCTTCGAACTCACATTCGAGCTGGGCTGCACCAAGTTTCCATTTCAGAGTGATTTGGAAGGTTACTGGCTGGACAATCGCGAACCGCTGCTCACTTTCATGGAACAAGTGAACAGGGGTGTGAAGGGATTCGTGCTGGACGACAAGGGGCACGGTGTGCGGAACGCGGACATATCGGTCGTGGGCATTGAACACCCCGTAAAATCGGCGAGCGATGGTGATTACTGGCGGATATTGGTGCCGGGAGACTATGAAATATCGGTGACAGCATATGGGTAAGAAAATAAAATTAGAAAAATATAAATATTAGACAAAACGGTACTGCAGCTTTGCTTGAAACTTAATAAATTTTAATTTTTTTTATTACACGTAAAATACCTTTTTTCTCATGCTGTGTACTTTATTTATATTGTATTAGTTATGTATCTTGAAATTCCTAATCACCAAGGCTAAGATTTATATGAAACAGCATGTTTTTTTGCGACTTCTGATTATTGATTTTGTCAGTAATGTCCACGAATCACCTCATGATGAGATAAATGGGGATATTTTTATTTTGCATGTTTTTGCTTATTTTGGATAAAATACATATTATTGCATATTTTGATTATAAGAACGGAAAAATGCTTGTTGAATAGTATATTTATAGAAATTATAGAATAGAATATAGAATATAGAATTTAACACTTCATGAAAGTTTACAGATTATAATAAATGCTAGGGATCGACTTCTTGACTGTAACGAAAGAGTCGCAGATAAAGTTAAAACCAAAATATCCTTGCTTTTACAAAAAAATAAAGGATTTAAAACTCTCCACTTAATGAATAAAATATTAAATGGCGAATCGGACGAGGACAATTTCAGTTGTAACCCAACACCATGACAAATTTCTTTATTTAAATACGCGCCAACTACATCATGTGACGTTGAACGGAGCTATGGTCAATACAAATTCATACTACGATCCAATCGCCGATCATTCATTTTCGAAAATTTAAAAAAATATGTGGTCGTAGCATGTAACACATGTAGTGAATGTGAATTATAAATTTTATTTCTAAATTATTTTATTTTATTTCTCAATTATATTATATTAAGACAAACAGCCAATCACTGATGATGATGTATTTCAATAAATAAATATATTTTTTGTAAACTATATTTTTGTGTTTATCTTATAAAAATTTAAATGCATATTTTTGCATATTTTGATAAATAAAATGCATGTTTTACCATTTTTTATTGCATACAAATCCTACCCCTGCTAATCACGGTTCCCTAGTCACAACTAATCATTACCCTTCAAATTTAAATGCATATTTTTGCATATTTTAGTTAATAAAATGCATGTTTTACCATTTTTTATTGCATACAAATCCTACCCCTGCTAATCACGATTCCCTAGTCACAACTAATCATTACCCTTCAAATTTCAATACTTTATTATGGTGGGTCGTTACCTATTGACTAAATTTACTTATAGCGTATGATGAGTCTAGGGCTCGGAACTCGGAAGTTGATGCATTTCGCATTTTTTTTTTAATTGATGTAGTCATTAATCTATCCATCTAAAAATCTGATTTAGATGGTCTAATAAAATAATCTGAAATTTTTATTTTGCATTTCTTGACTTTATTTCTCATTGATATCATTTTATCACGTTCTTACATTTTAAATCATTTTTTTTCGATAAATACGTATTTTTCCCAAAATATATAGCGAAGTTTTCTTATACATACATTTAATGCTTAATTTGATTTTCATTAAATGAGATAAAACCATAAAAATAAAATATAATATCTTATTTGAACTTTTAAATATAGCTTATTGTTGTCAGAGTTACAAAAATAACTAGGTACACTAAAGTCTAAAATGACTGGTCGTGGTCGACCTGTGTAACTCGCAATGTTTGAAATAAGGTATAATAATAGTTTATAGACTATGGTATATTTATATTTATGGTACGATGTATGTTATTGTAAACAATAAAATGATTATTTTTCAATAACAGCTAAAACGTATTGTAGCCACTATATTTTGGAAAATATAATTTAGTATTCGACGTGTAGCGTGTTGTTGTCCTGTTTTAAGAACTTTTCTATTAAAAAATGCCTAAAAATAAAACTTCGACTAGTGTTTGTCTACGTGCGTTTGTGTCAGCATTCAGAAGTGATATTTTTTCAACTGATGGATATATATACTTTTTTGCAAGATATGTGACGTTAAGGTTGCTGCAGATAAAAAGTTCACTGTGGAACAACACGTGTCACGTCAAAAGCAATATACATGGTATTGAGCGCAAAAATTTATAAACAGAAAAATCAAAAAAATCAAAATTTACTGACACAACCATCCAGAAAATGTACATTTAATTAAGATTTGTGTCAAGCCCTTTTATCGGCTAATATTTCGTTGAATACAATTATCCAACGACTGTTTTCGTAACTTTTTGGAAAAATATGCAAGCAAGAGTATTCCCGTCGAATCGACATTGAGAAAATCGTATGTTGCTCAATGTTACGAAGAAACAATATAAAAAAGTATTGTGAAAATCAAAAATTGTGGATTTCTATCGACGAAACCACTGATGCGGAAGGCCGGTACATTGCGAATGTAATTATCGGTAAGTTAAAAATTGGATACCCAGGAAAAATATTTTTACTTCACACAGAAGTTCTGGAAAAAGCCAATCATACCTGCATTGCTAAATTATTGGATAAAGCACTTAATCTTTTGTGGCCTCAAGGGATTAAATACGACAATATTTTACTGTTTTTGAGCGATGCAGCGCCATAAATGGTAAAGGCAAAAAAAAAAATGTACCTACTCAAAAATGGAACATGTCAACTGTTTAGCTCACAGATTACTCAGGGTTGCAGAAGAAGTTCGTAAATGTTTTCCTAAAGTTTATCAATTAATATCTAACGTAAAAAAATCTTTTTAAAATGTCCTGCTTTTCAATTTTTTCGATAAAAGGCACCGAATATTTCTTTACCGCCACAGCCTGTATTAACTAATGGGGGGCGTTGCTAAGTGCCAAAAATTATTATTGTGAATACTTTGAAACTTTAAAAGAAATAATACTTAGTTTAAATAGAGAAGACGCTACATCGATTGAGATAGCTCAAGATCTCATGGACGATTGTGATTTGAAAAGTGACTTGATATACATTTACTCTAATTTTGGAACATTGAATGATTCTATTTTTCAGTTAAAAACATTTGGGCTTAGTCTTCACCGTTTGATGAAAATTGTACAAGATGTAGAAAATAAAATTCAACAAGCAGAATATAGAGTAGGACAAGATATAAAAAAAAATTAAAATCCGTTTTTAAGAAGATGTTAAATAAAAGATATTTTTCTAAAAATATAAAATAATTCATTTTTTTGCATTTTTTAGTTAATAAAGTTATGTTATTTTATAATTTGACAATTGTTGGGTCATTTTTTGCAGTCATTTTCCATCATTTTTAGATCATTTATTCATATTTTTTAAGGTTCTTTAGTTTAGGTCATCAACTTCTAAGCCTTAATGATAACCCAACACTTACATTTTTACGGTCATTAAATTTGACATTTATTAGTTTATTAATTAATTTATATAAATGATTCGAGACAACTCAAAAGACGAATTAGAATAATAGTATAATAACTAATAAGTAATTACGTTTTTTCAAACAAAATTAGTGATAAAAATGATAAGATTCGGAGACATGGATCTATCAGTTCCCTATGGTGTGCTTGGGTTTATTACTAAATTGTAAACTAGTGCAATAAACAATTTCTTTTCATAATAATGAGTGCATGGGCACAAGCATTGCTGAAAAATGGCAATTTAGAACCTTTTGGGGACTTAATTTCCCCCAGGTTTAAGAATGTGCTTCGTTGTTATATTTATAGGTATAAAAGGAAGACTCAGTCCGTCCATGTGAACAACTCCACGGTACCCACTTGGTTAAACTTTACGTTGCTCAAGGAAAACCTCGATGAATGGTCTCAAGTCAACGATTTTGGTTTGAGATCGAATGTGATTAAGATGAACAGTTACAATACGAGAGCATTGTTTCTGAGCAATCTTAAAGAATTGGAAAATAGTTTGTCAAATGTAGCCGAATTAGTTACGACACCTAGTTCTTTAGACCATGATTCAGAGAAAACAATTCAATTTAAAGTCACTGAAAATGTAAGGATGAAATCTATGTATTTTATGATAGAAATATGTGATATAATTTAATACATTTATACTTATTTTCCCTATGTAGGTAGGGTCGCCTGACGAATTCAAATTCAAAATTGCCATTTTGGGTGGATTGTACATCAATGAACCTGCTACTCGTGAGATATTATTATTTTTGGCTAGACATTATGTCGAGGGTTACAGAAAAAAGGACAAGGACATAGTTTCGTTTTTATCAAAAGCCGTGTTACATTTTATACCCTACTTCGAACAAAACGAGAATTCTTATGAAAAGATATGTTCGACCGACGATCAAGCTGTAGTTACCGCACCACTATTGATAGCTACTAACCAACAAGATGAGCAGAAGACCACTGACAACTTATGGAAAATGTTACAACGAGAACAGTTTGATATGATGTTCAGTCTGGAAGGTGGATCTATTTCAATAAAGTTAGTTTACCTCATTACTATAAATCATATTATGAGTTCTATAGCTATATGTATGCAACTTTTAACAGCATTTAATGTTCTATACATTTATTATTTTATAGGGGTCCAACAATTCATCCAAGGAACACAATTTCCATAATACTACAGGATTATGAAGAGTTATATTATAGTAATTTAAAAAATGTAAGTTATTTTATTAAATACTATAATTTTAAAAATATTATATTTTTATTATATGTTTAGACTTGCGGTGAGCCATTAGATCGTAAAATCAATGATGTTAAACAAAACGTGTTGGATACATTCAATAATGTGTTAAAAATTAAAACCGTACGTAGAAAATGTTTAATTTTATACAAGTCATAACTTATATGAACTCAAAATCTGCATGTGTGATCCAGGCACGTACCTCTCTGAAAATTAATAGTTGTGTCATTTATTTATATCAATCATTGATGATTACAAGATGAAGATTACTATCCCTCCAAATTTTTTTTTGTGTACGTGCCTGGTGTGGTCTCTGTCCTATAAACTTACAACACAGCAAATCAGGCAGAACAATTTTTTGTTGTTAGTTTTAAGTGGATCAGTGGAGGATGGTTTTTAAGAAGTTGGAAATAAGTAATTTTCAAATTGCATGCATGTGGTTCTAGTATATGTGTGTGTAGGATACTAGGATGTGACCATTAGTGTGTGTGACTGTGTGTAAAAGAAATAGCGGAGCATTCCTGCACAGACATGTACAAGTCACCGCCGCGGTGTTACGTGACTGAACAGTAAACAATTTATGTTCATTTGTATCTACTAATTAATTTCTTCCATCCTACCAATCAACCTAACAATGAGATAATTTTTCAGAAAACTGGTCTGAATTTGTTTTAATGTCTACTTGAGATAGGTCAGTCCACATTTTAAGATTTCTGATTTGAATTCCGAACAATCAACATTTGAAAATTCTGAAATTTCAAAGTATTCAAACTAAATTTATAGTTGTTAGTGGAAGGGGGGGGGGGTGAAATTAGGAGAAAGAACTGACCAATCTCAAGAAGTACACATAATAACAAATTAAAATCAGTTTTAAAAAGTATTATCTCTTTTTTCAGTTCACTCTAATGTTAAATCTAACAACACAAAATAGGTTCTGCTGAACACAGATTTGTCATTTTGTACATTGTAAGACAACGATAATACGTCATGCAGGTTGGGTATCCTCTTACTTCTTAATATAGAAAAACTAAGAATTTATTTATTTCAGATGGCATTACGTTTAACCTGCTGTAACTACATTGATCCATTAGAAACAGTGTTTGTTTGGATGGATAGTTTCCATATGCTCAAAGTCATCATAGAAAACATTCAAGGTGTTCAAGGATCAGTTGTAGATAAATTAGGCAAACCTATTCGGAATGCAGTCGTAACAATAAATATGTTTGCTGACGTTTACTCAGTCACTCCTAATTCTGCTGTTTTTAAGGCACACCTGCCGATAGGTTTATATAATATTCATGTGAGTTAAGTTATTTTAGACTATGAAAAATATGATCAAAAGTTCACTTGTGTGTATTTAGGTCAAGGCAACCGGATATTTGATGAAAAGTATACCGATAAGTGTGCACCGTGGAATTATTACTAATATGAAAGTTATCATGTCACATGTTGGCCATGGTTCTGTAACTCTAGGATTAAACGCATTGGTTAAGGGTAAGTAATATTTTTTGACATTTAACTAACATTGTCTTTAAACATTTAAATGTTATAAACTGTATTGAATTAGGTTCTGTTATGGATATTGAAAACAGACCAATCGAGGGTGCAATCATAACGGACGATTCATCGTCTTCGGTGTCCTCTACTTATCATAATGGGACCTATAAATTATATCTTGGAGAAGGTTGAATCTATTGTTATTTATACATAAACTTAATTAAGGTAAATTATTTGTTCTGTAATTATATTAAATTTTATTATAAAGGTATCAGAACATTACGAGTAAATGCTCATGGATATTACACTTCCATAAAATCAATTAATATTCAAGACGACAAACCTCAGACAATGATTTTTAAATTAATTAAAGATGAAAGAGTTTTTAATATGCCAAGGTTGATGTTTATAGTCCTTACAGGTAGCTGAAATAAAAAAATATAATTTTTCAAGCAACAATTTCAAACTTATTTCTTATGTTTTTAGTTTTTATAATCTCCATTATTGGAGTAAGTTGGTATCATTTCTACCTTAGATGGAAAACTGGAAGACCGTCGTCATTCGCCTATAGAAATGGTTTTGCATTGCTGCCACAAAAACCGTATCTTTTTGATGACGATGATGAAGTGGAACTATTTCGCAACCCAGTCATTAAAGGTAAATTTACTAATAAATATTTAAATATAATCTAGGCTTCAAGTTAAAAAGGTGGACAAGTGGGTACCGCTCTGCTGTACAGTAGTTGTTGAGTATGTAATTGCAATGAATGTGCTATATTTGAATTCAATGATAAATCATTGGATACGAAAAACAATTCTGAGCGGAGACAGTGCGTTAACCTAGGCCTAGCTCAGTGGTGCCGAACACTTACGGCTACTGGGCTAAATACCCCATAACTTTTGTAGATGGTAGGTAACTGCTTAGTGCTTTAAGGTCTTGTTGAATTCGATAAATTAATACTAAATATATAATATTGTAAAAAGTTATATATTCAAACTTTCATAAAAAAAATATTTTACTTAACGCTAAACTTAATTATTTTGTTATAAGTAGAATATTTTATTGGGAATCTTTTATCAAAATTCCTTATCTTAGCTATAAAAGGAAAACTTTTCTGAATTTTTAACTGAAAAACAGTTTACAAAATTGAAAAATGTATCATCCCTTTAAATAGCTCAAAAAGCGTCAAATTAGTTGAAAATTTCACTGTGTATGGACAATGCTTGTATAAATATGTAGTAAACATTTAATGAGTTTACGGTTATTCGTTTTGAAAATACAACTCAGTATAAAAAATCAATCAATAATTTACTGCTGAATATCAAATGTAGTAAAAATTTTAAGTTCAAAAGCTCATAAAAAAATAAAGTTCCATTTAAGTACAATTTTTTTTGTTTGTTATAGGTAGGAAAACTTATGTAAAATCTTTTAATAACATTTTTAATTTTATTGGTATGAAAAGAAAAACTTTTATAAATTTCTAACCAAATAATAATTTACAACATTTAAATTTCTCATGGCTATTTATAGCTGAAAAAGTTTCAAAATTGTTTGAAAATATTACCATGTATGGATAACGATTGTTTTAACATTTAGTAAAAATTTCAAGTATCTAGGTTCATTCGTTTTTAAGTTACAACAAATTATGAAAAATTGATTGATACAGATTCTTTAATTTACCTATAAAAATCCAATATCGTAAAAATTTTAATTCAAACACTCATAAAATTAATGTTGCTTTTTGTTAAATTTTTTTTTTTCTGATTAACTTATGTAAATTTGAGAGGAGTCTTCTCTCAACATTCATTTATGCTGGCTTTGAAAAGTAAACCATTTATGAATTTCTAACTGAAAAATGTTAAATATTTTGTTGAATTGCATATAAAAAAAAAAAACGTGCCTATGTGCCTGATTTTTTTGAACTCACATTTATGAAACTTATCCTTATTATCCTTTATATATTAATCTTTTATTAAATTTTGAAGCCTTTTTACTAAGTGAAAAAGTTTTTATCAAGAATAATTTTAAAAAAAATTACCAATTTCCAAAAATTTCTCAAGGCTATAACTAGCCCAAAAAGAGTTAAAATATTATGAAAATGTTACCATTTATGTGAAATGCTAATATAAATATTTGATGAAAATTTCAATGGTCTATGATTGTTAGTTTATGAGTTACATCACAAAAATAAAATCGATTTCCTCCAAAGTTTGTTTTAGGTAAAAATTATCACTTTTGTTTTCTTTTTCTCAGCTTTCTAAAACTACTTGGAATTTTCAATTTTTACCTCCCAAAAGTACCAACTAGGTTCACTTTTTAACCAGAAAATATGCTGATCTCAAAAATCAAAGCATGCCTTCTATCCAAAATGTTGCTGACAGACACATCATTGTTAAACCAATACATTCTTTCGCTCCGCTCAGAATCTAAAATGCAAAAATGCATTTTATTTTATTGAAACATAAATGTAGTATTTATCCATATGCATTCAGCATTAGTGCATTATTTATGTTTAAAATAGTTAAACATCTTATGAGAGACTGTACCTTGTATTAAAATATTTCTACTTAATTTATAGTTTTAAGATCAAATTTTGTTTACAAATAAATATTTATAGAACAGTTTTAAAGCATTTAGATTTACATAGAATTTTTGACTGAACAGTATTGCTTTTATTTTTAAATGGAATATTTATTAATATTTTTTACTATAAGCACAGTTTTGAGTAACTGAATTATTGTGCCTTAAAAGTTTTACAAAATTGCAATTGAGAATAAGGATCAAACAATTTTTCAAGAGTTTACAGACAGTTTATTTTGATTATTTTTGTATAAATGTATTAACTAACAATTCTCTCAACTTTAAACTATGGTTTTACTAATAAGTAATAGTTACAATGTAATTTTAAAAATCTCTAAACCAGGATATTAATATATTGTTTAGAAGTAAACTATTATATATTAAAAATAATTTTAAGGTGTCTATTTAATTTTGTGACATTCCAATTGAAACCACTGGATTACCAACAGTTAAATGTACCTTTTATTGCAGTCTACTATTATGCATTCAAGTACTTTCTTATTTTTGTCAAACAACAAGGCATACACCTATGCAACAAAGGTTTAACTAATATATTTATTACCTAGTTCCACATATTATGCGATTAATCTTATTAATTTATTTGAGTCTTTTTAGTCAACAATTCTGATTCATACATTCTAATTAAATATCAACCATAATATTTAGGTGTGCTTTAATCATTATTATGGGTTCTATTTTTTTAAATTGCATAATTTTGTTAATGTAATAATTTAAACATAATTTACAGATTCTGTGACTAGGCCATACCACGATGATTCAGACATAAGTTTCACAGACAGTTCAGAAGAATCAGTATCTTGTTATGTTCGGTAATCATTTAAAACTCACTATATTTTAATGTAAATTTAAGAACATGTCCAATGTGCTATACTTCAAGGGGGCCAAGTCAACATTTTGAATTTCCATTATATACTTATCAGCGAAAGCATGCACTTGACATGTTGTAATGGGAAATCTATGTTTTGTTAAGTAACACCAGTAGTAGAATCCTTAATTGTTCAAAATTTAAGGCCTATTAATTATTATTATACTGACCTTTTAGTAAGCGACATTTTTATTTTATAACTTTATATATATTACAAATATGTTTAACATCACATCTAATACATACTAAAAAGTGTATTTAAGTCATTATTTAAGAAGATCAATGATAACTTGCACCACATTTATTGTTACTTGTTAATTAGTTTAAACAAATTTATAACCAATCAAACCTTGTAATAAATATTCTGGTTTTTAATTAATACATTTATTCTATTTTATACTTGGAAAACAAGCTTGATGAACAAATTGTAATGTTAAACAGTAAAATTTTATATTTTTGATATAAAATTAAAAAACTATTCAGTTATGTTGTCTTCTTTATTTGATTTGATTTCATGTTCTCTACTCATATGGGTATCTAAAAACAGTTGTCTTCCAAATGCTTGACGGCATAGTATACAACTGAATTTCAGCCGTCCATCTGCGTGCATTTTCAAATGTTTCTTATAATTACAAAATGACACAAATGAACGATCGCAAATGTCACATTTGTGCTGAACCATATGCTCTTGAACATGATTACTTCTCGACACCTTCAATAAACATAAAAAAAAAATACAATGAATAATAGTAAATGTATATAATATTTTATGTAAATATGGCTTACCCAATTCTTAAAATATCTAGGACAATAAAAACATTTAAATTGCTTAATACCAGAATGGCCTTGTTCGTGATTGACTCTACTACTTGATGCACTGAATGTTTTTTCACAACCTTCATGACGACATTTATAAGGGCGTTCTTTGGTGTGTACACGCATATGTTTTTGTACGAGATCTTTGAGTCTGAAACAACGACCACATACTGGACAGGCAAAAGGTTTCTCGCCAGTATGCACTCTTTCATGGTTTACCTAAAATATGTTATATTGTATAATTTTTAGTCCAAAAAAATGAAGAACATGATAAAATTACTTTCTCAATAGGTTTAACAAAAGTTTTTCCACAGAAACGACATTCATGTAATCGACGTAAACGTTCAGGGGGTTCAATATGTGTAATGGCATGATGCTTCAAAGAGTTTTTATCATTAAATTGAGCATTGCAAACATCACAGACCAATATTTCACGAGGTTTACGTCGCATTTCGTGTGCTCTTTGATGACATCGGAGACGAAATTCCGAATCGTAACATTTATTGCATATACTAAAATAATTAAAGGTTAATAATTCAAAATAAAGCTATATATAATCAATTTTAGTCATACTTGCATAGAAACTTTAAGTTAGAAAATTCTGGATTTTGATGAGCAATTAAATGTGTGTCCATCATTTCAGGTGCTACTGGTTGATCACAAAACGGACATTTATTTGAATCATTTATGTGTACCATAAGATGTGTTCTTAAATAACCTTCTGAATCAAATTCTCCGCCACAGTGTGGACAAGTATGCTTTGATCGAACATTAGGAATTGTACGACTATTGTTTCGGATGGCTGGATTTTTGTTATCAACATTTTTTTTAGATTTGGGTGCCATTGCATCTTCTTCTATGCAGTTATGTTTGTTTAACTTAGACCAATGGTCAGATTTTACATTACATGCTATACACTTCCAAGTTAACAATAAACAATTCTCCAATTTTTCTAATTGAGAGTATTCATTACATTCAGATGCTATTTCTAATATTGGAATAATTTTGCAATTAGTTGGTTTATTTTGAAATAATATTTGCTCAATATGAAATTCATCTGTATTAGATTTTAATCGTATAAGACGGATTCGTTTCTTGAAACTCAATTTACGAGCTTCGACTTGGAAATAATCATTAACCTTATCAGTAACTTGATGAAGTAAATAAACAGGAATATCAAAATACCGATCGCCATATAAATCAGTGATGCAGTGATTTGAATAAATATTGGCAGACAATTTGGTGGTATAATTTTGATACACGTTGCTTTTAATTTTTATATTTTCATCTTTTGTTTCAATTAAGTCTTCTGGAATAGTTTTTAAAGTTGTTGTTTTTTCTGACCTAATATCAACCAATTGTTTCATTGCCACATCTTTATGGTTTGTATAAAAGTAGCCATTGCCCCATTTGATCCAGGTTCCCATCTGAGGAATCTGATCGCTAATGGTAGCATGATTGTCCTTTAAGTCATTATTGAGGTCATCATCAATTACCTACACACATAATATGTTTAATGATAAGCAAATGGTTTATTTTTGAAAAAACCCACCTGGAACACGACATCTTGACCTTTGTGACAATTATTTATATGTTCCTGAACTGATGGAAAATGTATATTGCATTCAGAACAGTGATAAGGATTTGGTTCTACGAGAACTTCTACTTCTGTTTCTGTTGTTTCTGGTGGTCGCAACGTTTTAGTTGGATCATCAATAGTAAATTCTTCAATAAATTTCTTAACTCCAGTTTCTACATCAGCATCAGTTTGCCGTTCATCATTCTGATAATCCTCTTCTCCCACAAGATTATCGAATTCTCCAATTTCATTCTCAGGTTCCGGTTCGTCATCTAGTTAGAAAAAAAAAAATAAATCAGTTGTACAATATTGGAACACTTGACTTGCCATCTGGATATACGACGATCATTTCATTGTTTTCGTGCATGGATTTATCAACTTCTTCTTCCTTATTTTTGCAAATCTTATCCAAATGAACGACTAATGAGTTGATGTCATCGCAATGTTTTCCACAAAAGGGACACTGAATATTTGTGGTCAAACTTAACAAATGATATTTCAATAAGTCTTTGTTGGAAAACTTATCCTCGCAGCAAAGCGGGCACGCGACGCTCTCCATGAAAACGCTGAAACAAATATTGAAGAAAAACGTATCTAAAATCGTAAGTTTCCAAAACTATTGACGACCACCGACGGACATTATATTTTATTGATTGATAAAGAACTCACGAACTTACTGTTTCGATAACCGTTGTCGTGTTAAAGTTCGGAAGTACAACTTGCCAACGACCCTCGGAACTGACGCTAACAAATCAATTAATTTTGAAAGTAAAACATCAATGTCGATACAATTTGATTCTTGTAAAATACTAAATAGTGAATGTACCTGAATTTTTAAAATATACCGCCTAAACGCGTTAGTAACTTCAGAAATGTTATTGAATTACTGACCGCTGCGAAGTTGCTGTGTTTCGTTACCGACGTCAGCTCAGACGAATATCTGTACCGCCATCGCCATGATTGTGACGTAGTTGTTAACCACTCTGGTTACGCAGGGTTAACCAGAGTCCGGTTGTATGGTATTGTTTTGGTGGTCGACACGTCTTGCCGCTTGGGTGGACGGTTTTGTCGTTTGGTGACGCTAATTGTGTTACTGTGATGTATTGTTATAATAAATCAATTTCAACGCTAATTTTGAAATCAAATACCAGACAAGTTACGAGTAAGTGGAGAGACAAGTTTATCATAACTCATTAAAATCGTTTGAAACTTGTAAGAAACAGTCATGAATCATGAACCATGTTAATGCGAATGTGTATTTTGTTTTTGTGATAATTGCGATTTATGCTGTTAACTGTGGTATGGTTTACGCACATGCGCAGAAATGAGGAACAACAGGATCTGCACCACGGCTTTAGATAGCTTTCTATCTAAAGCCGTGATCTGCACCGCGGCACTTACCACCATGCTCCGTCTAATGTCTGTTCAAATTTAAAGTCACAGAATATATTGTATAATATAGTATATAGAATTACAGAAGTCAGTGATTAAAGTAAATTAAGGTCACTTTTACTGGGTGTATATGACAGATGTGACCAGTATATTTCTAAAAAAAATTATTAAAAATTTATCACCGGTAATACTGCAAACCTGTAAAAAAGCAGGAACAATAATAAAATTCACATACACGATTACAGATATAATTTCACATATGGCTTAAATGCAATTTAGCTCCCAAGCAATTTTTTTAAAATTTTTTTTCAAAATATGAGTTTTGAAGATAACATTTTAATATTTTTGAAAATTGTATTAAATATACATTTTTTTAATGTTCATCATCAATTAATATATTTTTAATTTTTAAATAGTTATTTTTTTCCGGGATTCGAAGCAATCACATGATCTAGATAATTACTACAGCAGCTTGCGCACATATTGCGCAGTGCACGACCACCGAACAATATTTAATCCGGTCGGTGATCGCCTTGCTAGTTGCAGCTGCAGCTTGCAAGGATTTAGGATATAGTTCCCCCCCCCCCCGAACATCCTTAAAAAATTATATGGGCGCTAATGTACATAATCGACATCATGATTAAATTAATTATTCATGACGTATATACATTATACAATAGGTAAAAAAGGGTACTGCCTAATTTACTGATTTGGGGCCATAGCGGCCGTAGCATGGGCAAACAAAGTCCGAATGAGTTCAAACTCCACAAGTGACATTTTAATACCCCCATACAACCCCCTACCAAATTCCAGGTTGCCCCGTCAATTTTCACCTCCGGGTTACTTGGCGCAGAAATATCACAAACCAAAAATTATGAAATTTTTTACACGATATCAGTTGTACCGTATTTAAATACATTGGAAATTTCAAGTACCTACCTCGAAAACCCATGCCGTGTAAAAAATTTCATAATTTTTTTAAAGTATTGCGGATTTTAGAGCAAATCAGCAGATTTCCTGAACGGCGGCTCGTTATTTTACTGATTTGATTATGTGAATAAAATTCAATAAATTACTTATCTGGATTAATGGATTATAACTGCATGGGTTTTCGAGGTAGACACTTGAAATTTCCAAGGTATTTAAATATGGTACAACTCATACCGTGTAAAAAATTTCATAATTTTTGGTTAAGTTTTTAGGTTTGTGATATTTCTGCGACAGGACCTAACCCGGAGGTAAAAATCAATTTTGGCAACCTGGAATTTGGTAGGGGGTTGTATGGGGGTATTATAGTAGCACTTGACACTTGTGGAGTTTGAACTTATTTGGACTTTGTTTGCCCATGCTACGGCCACTATGGCCCCAAATCAGTAAATCAGCAGATCAGTAAAATAGATCGACCGGTAAAAAAGTCAATTTTGATAAGAGGTGTAGTTAAGTTACTGTGTTTCGTTTTTTGACAGCCGAGCTGGATACCATTTTTAGTTCATGCTGGATACGAAACAGAAAGGTCTTATCAATGTTTTTCTGAGTCCGCCAGCTTCTCACTGTTTGTCACATATTAATATATTAATGTGGTTTGACATGACAACTAGCGCTTTGCAGGATTCTCCTGGTTAACACAGAACAATCCAATTTAAGTGCAATATTGACATAAATTAGATAAAGACACATAGTAAGTTGTCATCATAGATCTATTAAAGAATATAAGTCTATGGTTGTCATGCCTAAAGTGAGAAAGTTTGCCCACACAACTGTAAAAGTAACTTTGTAAAACATTACTATTTGAATGTAACTCAACTCATATATTTTTTTATAGAGAAATATTATTTTACTAGGTAATTATATTTCAATAACTACTTAATAACTAGCTGGTTACAAAATTTGAAAATACGTAAGCCTTAAACACCCAATACTATGGTCCTCTAAAACTCCTAACATATTATTGTGTAGGGGAGAGTGTTGTACCTTGGACCGCTTGTACCTTGGACTAATGTAAATATTTTATAAAATATTGTGGGAAAACAAAATCTCATGGAAGAAATTTACGTCATTAGTCCTACTACAATAAATAATTTAGAAATTGATAGCAAAAATGCGCGTATTTTTTTGATAAACAGCAAATCATTTTCTTATCACAAAAAAAATAATATTTGAATTTTAAAACACAACTTTTTGTATTTTAATTTGTTCATTTAAATTAATAAGGTAAGTGTTCATCTATGTTAAATATTGTATTTAATTGAATGGTGTGGTCCTTTGTTACAATATAAATGTACAAAATGGCCAAAAGAACAATTAATAAAAATATAACTCGAATGTACCTTGGACCAAAAAAAAAATTGTACCTTGGACCATCCATTAATTGTTCATAAATTGGTATTTCATTAAAAATTATTATTTAATTGCTTGTAGATTAGTACCTACAGTTATTATGCCTAGAAGCAAATAAGGTATTAAAAGGGTAAAGACAACATGAGACTGAAGTTTATTTATTTTATTTACCTTTCTTATTATTGTGTAATATTATAGGTAGGTATCTATAAATAATAATAAATATATTTTGTAACTATAATAATTGAAATAAATAATAACTAGGCATTCATAACTAATCAAATACATAATATAAAATTATTTTTGAAATTAAGTATGCATATTTCAATGCAAACCAAGGTACAATACCCTAAATACCAAGGTACAATATATATTGTACCTTGGACCATTTTTTGTGTTTATAAAAAATAAATTTTAATTTAAAAAATAATTGATATAAGGCCTTTAAAAAAAATTACCATATACTTATGTGTATTGTCTATATGAGTAATAAAATTGAACATTTAATATTCAAAATTAAAGGTTCTAGAATTTTTTTTATAAAAATGGTGCCAAGGTACAACACTCTCCCCTACTGATAATGTTTAAATGGCAAGCACACCCGCAAAAAAATTCAATGTGGGGGGGGGGGGGGTGTTCCGTGCTTGTTAAATGGTGTAAAAACAATGCAAGGGTTTCAGTACAACATGATATGTATATTAGGTATACGTAAGAAGATAATATTTTTACTATGTAATATAAATGACAATATAATACTATAAATAATTTTAAAAAAAATGTATTGTTTTATGTGTGAGATAAGTACAATGTATTGGTACAAACAGTATAAATATTATACCATCAAAGCATGAAAATGTAAATGAAATTTTAGACATATTAGTATAATAGTATATTACTATATTATTATATTATGTTGTATTATCATCGATGATTGAATATTTGAATTTAATATATTATGTAATTATTCTATAGACTTGTGGTTCATAATATCTTATAGTATAGATTTTATAAGTTAATTTATTATATTGTTAATATAAAATATAAACATAAATAAATCGCTAATAGTAAAATAAATAAGAATTATTTTTTAGAATATAATTAAAAACAAATATACAGATATATTTTAAAGAGTTAAAAATATGAATGTCAATTACATTTATACATTTTGTTATCAAAACAAAGAAGTATTATTTAATATTTATAAATTATATTCTATTGAACAAAAAATGTTGGTACCTGTCAACAAACAAGAACTGAAAAGTGTTTATTTATTGTTATTAGTATAATAAAAGTAATATTACATAATATGTAATAATATTATAAGGTTTAGTAGGTAAGTTTGATATTATAAAGTTAAGTAGTTTTTCTAAGGATTTATCAGGTAAGTTATCTTTCAGGATCATTTCTCAAAATAATATACAATATACATAAAATAAAAATAATACAAAGGTAATACATATAATAATACATATCAATATTTAATAGAATAAACAAACTCTTAAATAACTTATATTATACAAGTATAGATATTTAAATTTTTTTCAGATATAATTTATTCATAATAATATAATAAATTTGTATAGCAAATATTTTTATCGGCTTAAAATATATATTACTTAATAAATAAAAAGAAACCTTCAGTCTCTGATTCTAGAAGACTTACAATAAAATCAGCAGTTTTTAAACTTACCAAAACTCATCAACAGCTTGACAAGTAAATGATTGTTATGGAGTCTATGGACCAAATCCATAAATGAAAGCTACCCTTTGGTAAAATTCCCCTAGAATGCGTTTCAACAGAGGCCTAGTAGCAGATTCCGTCAAAACTCT